AATTTCCAGTGATACTAGTGTTGATGATTCTAGTATTTCTAGTGATGCTTTTGATTCAAATAAAAGTATTGATTCACATCATGCATTCAATGATATTTCCAATATTACATTACCATTTAAAAGATCAAAAACATAAATTTAAATGTCATTATATTAATATTCGGAAATAACTATTACCATTAAATACTCATTACTTCAAACAATTGTATTTTTAATATTTGTTTGTATTAATTGTAATTGTTTGCATAAATATCCATTGGACAATGAAATTGAGTCCACATAATATCTATTTTTTATTAACAGAATTTAGAATTCCATTAATAAACTTTCATAATATCCTGATATTCAGAAGCAGTGAATATTTAATTAGAAAAGGGTGATCGATATCAAGCTTAATCATTCATCTATTTCATTTATAGCTTCTTGTCTACCATGATACTTGAGAAATTGTTGGTTATATTCTAAATAGACCAACATCTAAGTGATGTAAACCATCTGGAATTGTTACACTATATACATTAAAATTTCGAATAAAATCAAGACAATCCGTTTCATAAATAAGGTTCTGAATGAATCAATGAAATTCGAAACAAATCAAATTGAATTTTAATTGTATTTTGATTTGATTTGGTTTAATTTAATTCAAACTGACTCGAATATATAATTTGATTTGAACTAATTCAAATCTTTAGCAAAATCGTTATCATTCATTAGTTACATTATCATTATTTTTATCAATTAATAATATTATTATAATGACCGAAACTACCTTACTTAGTGGGCTGAAATTGCTGAAATTAATTGGCCTAAACTTGGGCGAAACTAATTTTAATAGATGAACTAGAGAGTTTTTCAACTGTGCGAAAGTCAAAAGGTTCGCCAAAAGTCGAAACTAGTTTTGACTTGCGACTTTTGACATAACTTTCAAATCTAGTTTGACTTTCTCCTCCTTCAAAAAAGTTTTGGCGACCAACAATATTTTAAATTGAAAATTAAGCCAATATAATCAACATCAAAATTAGAATATAACAAACA